TCACCTGGAAACTCCTCCTCCAGGCAGCCAGCCAGGGTTTGCTTCCCACCCGACCCCGCCTCCCCTCCACCTTTTTCCTCCTGTCCATCCATCTCCTCACCCTGGGCTGGCTGGCTAGACTGGCAGGCCAAGGGGGCAGGGATGGAGTGAGGGTGGAACCCAGATCGGGGTGCATTCAGGGACAGGGGTGGGGGGTAGTGTGTGTGTGTGGGGGGAAACGGGACAGACGTTATCAAAGTCGTAAAACAGCGGCTGCAAAGTTCAAGTTGAACACCCTGGAGTCTTTATCGCCCTGTTTATGGTGCCTGTCCAAAGCCGGGGGGGGGGGGAATCATTCTTCACAGAGATATAAAAAAATAAAAACTGAGGGGGGAGGAAAGGAAAGAAAAACTCCAGTGTGTGTCAGAGGAGGAAGTTTTCCTCCAGTTCTTTCTGTACTTCTTTCTTCCTTCTGCCCCTCCCCTCCCTCCCTCCCTCCCTCTCTCTCCCTCCCCACCCCACCCACAGCAAGCAAAAAATGCCTAGTACCAGGCAGGCCTGGGGGTGGGGGGGTGAATGGAACCGCAAAGCAACTGGGAAAGAATCTCAGTCTAGGGAATACACTACAGCCAGGAACAAGAGTCTCCTTTGCTTCAGGGAGAGAGATTGAGAAGAAGAAAAAAAAAATCAGGGAAGGCTTCCTGGAGGGGGCATCTTCCAACCTAGGGGACTGACAATCCCATGTCGGCCTGCCTCCCCGCCCCGGGGTGGGGAAATATTGTACCCTGTCACTGAAATCTGGGGGAAGAATGTCTTAGGAAGGAACCCAGAGTTGGGGGTACTGCCCAGCTACCCCCCCGGGGGGGGATATCTCTTTTCTCTTTTGGAGGTCTCTTGGGTTGCTCATCTCAAAAGAGGAATGAGGCGGGGGGCCGGGAGCTAGTGTCTCATGCCTGGCATCCCAGCTACTCAGGAGGCTGAGATCTGGAGGATCGAAGTTGGAGGCCAGCCTCGTGGGGGGCGGGGCAGGAAAGTCTGTGCGACTCTTTTGTCTGAAGAAACCACCAGAAAATAAAGACCAGAGGTGGTGCCGTGGCTCAAGTGGTAGAGCGCTTGCCTTGAGCAAAAGCAGCTCGGGGACGACGCCCAGGCCCTGAGTTCGAGTCCCACGACCCACAGAAAGAAAGCAAGATTTTCATTGCACCCAGAAAAATTGCAACAGGCAGCAATTCTACCACGCACCCTAGCCGCGCTCAGCCCTGCCTCTCCCTTCCCTCCTGCTTACCCAGCCCTTTCTCCAGTCCCTGTACTGAGACCTGAACTCACCACCTAGGTACTGTCCCTTAGTTGTTGGTTTTTCTTCCCTCCACTGGTGCTCTACCTCTTGAGCCACACCTCCTCTTCCAGTTTTTTGCTGGTTTACTGGAGATCAGAGTCTCACGGACTTTCCTGCCCCAGGGCTGGCTGGGAACCGCGATCCTCTGGATCTCAGCCTCCTGGGTAGCTAGGATGACAGACGTGAGCCACTGTTCTTAAGAGGGAGGAAGAAGAAAAGAATCTCTCCACTACTCGTGTGATTTCCCCCCCATCCCCAGCCTTTGTGTGTGTGTGTGGGGGGGGGCCTAGGACCTGCACCTGTTCGTGTGCGCCTTCCTCCCAGAGGAAGAAGAAGAGCACAGCACACATCCACAGATCCTCATTTTCCCCGCAATCGTGACAGTTGTCACCACGCCACAGTGAATCGTTGACTCGTTTCCTTTTCCCTTCTTTGCCCTTTGGTTGCTGATTTAGAAACATCCTGACCTACCCCCCCCCTCGCCCCGATTCTTCCCAGACCCAGCCTAAAACCCCAGAGTATTTCCCTATCTAAACAATACGATCGTCGGATCTAAAATACAAATACGGATGGAAAGCTGGGTGGGGGCTGGGGGCTCACGCCTGGCATCCCAGCTACTCAGGAGGCTGAGATCCAGAGGATCGAGGTTGGAGGCCAGCCCTGGGGGTAGGGGGAGTCGGGGGAGGGGGAGGAAAGTCTATGAGACTCTCATCTCCCATGAACCACCAGAAAACCAGACATGGTGCCATCTATCTATCTATCTATCTATCTATCTATCTATCTATCTATCTATCTATCTATCTATCTTTCTTTCTATCTTTCTTTCAATCTACCTTTCTATCTTTCTTTCCTTGTATCTTTCTATCTTTCTTTCTATCTATCTTTCTTTCTATCTATCTTTCTATCTATCTATCTATCTATCTATCTATCTATCTATCGAGCTGAAGCAGCTCAGGGACAGCGCCCAGACCCTGAGTTCAAGCCCCACGATCGATGAAACAAAACAAAACGTTTGCATATTACTTTCCTTCATATCTAACATTCAAATACTTTCCAGTTACGTGTAATAAGGACCCCAGGATGAATGTGGATCTGATCGGGCGATGTGCTTATGCTAGAAGCTTCTTGCCTGTCCGTGTCAGGTGCTGTCTGGCTGTGAATCTGATTGGGTTCTGTGAGGCCCAGCCAATTTTTCATGTCAACTTTTCTTGGGTTTTATGTTGTGTCCATCCTGGGGCTCAAACTGAGCTGTCCCTGAGTGTGAGCCACAGCGCCACTTCTGGCTTTGTGTGTGTGTGTGTGTGTGTGTGTGTGTGTGTGTGTGTGTATCAATGGAGATCAGAGTCTCATGTACTTTCCTGCTCACGGCTGGCTTGGAACCGTGATCCTCCGGATCTCAGCCTCCTGAGTAGCTGGGATGACAGGTGTGAGCCACCAGCACCTGGCTACCTGTGACCCTGCTTGGAGATAGGGGATTTCTGCCTTTAAGGAAGTCCCTCCTGTTATCTAACTTCAAAACCAGTTCTTCCTGCTGAGCGTTCACCAAAGCAAAGGAGGAATTCACCAAGGACTAGCCAGCCGCCATCTACCTAGCTTGGCTGCCACCTAACTCCTCCTCAACAGCTCGATCCCAGCCCCCAACCACAGACCCTGTGTTTGCAAACAGAGTCCTGTAAAAAGCCCACTTTATTATTATTAATATGCCAGTCCTGAGACTCGAACTCAGGGCCTTTGGTTTCTGGTCCTGGAGCAAGAAAGCTGGCATTCAGCCACTTGAGCCAGAGCTCCACTTCCGGCTTCTTGGGCGCTTCAGTCAGGAGAGGCGACGGTCCGTCTCCTGGGCTTTTCTCACCCTGTCTCTTGGCTTTCTAGAACGTTCTTCTCCCTCATCATCTTTTTCTGGCCTGATAATCAACCAGGCCTGTATTTGACCGGGCGATTTTCCAATGTTATTTTATTTACTCTTTGTTATTTACTCTTTGGTCCCTTCTGTGATCTCTGGAATCCGGAGGGATAAGGAGCATGTTTAGAAGGAAGAGATGAGAGGAAGAGGAAGGTCCCTCTTTCTCTCTGATAAGCATGGCAGGCTGACCGAGGTTGACCAGATGTCCGGAGGCTGATCTACAGAACTAGACAGATAATGGGGGTGGGGGGGAGGATGGTCTGAGAGAACATTGACCTGTCTTGGAATGATCATCCGCTGCCTGGCTCAGAACCGCGATCCTCCGGATCTCAGCCTCCTGGGGAGCTAGGATGACAGGCGGGAGCCACGGTACCCGGCCTAGCTGGTGGGTGTCTTACTCGGTGTGACCCTCTTACCCTCTCCCTCCCATCCAGGGCGGCCAGGGGGCCCGGCCACAGCAGGAATGTGACTACTTGCAAATGATGGAGGAGCAGCAGAAGCAGTGTCTGGAAGAGGCCCAGCTGGAGAACGAGACCACAGGTGAGACCTTTCAGGGGGACTCGGGCCGGGGGCTCACGCCTGTCATCCCAGCTACTCAGGAGACTGAGATCCGGAGGATCGTGGTTCCAAGCCAGCCCCAGGGCGGGGGGGGGGGGGGGGGGGGGGAAGTCCGTGAGACTCTTCTCTCCAGTGAACCACTCAGAACACCGGAAGTGGCGCTGTGGCTCAAGTGGTAGAGCGCTCGCCTTGAGCTGAAGAGCTGAAGGACAGCACCCAGGCCCTGAGTTCAAGTCCCACCACCGACAGACAAACAAGATTTCCATCCCTGCCACCCCCACGCCCATCCCCCATGGCACCCTACTTCTGCCTTGAGGGTCACAGAGCTGAACCCCAATTGGGAGGTGTGGGGGAGGGGGGAGGAGGTAATCAGGCCAGCTAGACTGGGTCTTGGCCCAAGTCTGGAGTTGACTTTGGCTCCAGGATTCGGTTACGGAACGAATCTATGGCGGCTGGGTAGCCATGAAATACCTCCCTCAGGGGAAGGTTCTGGAAGGTTCTGGAAGAGTCCTTATCCCCACCCCCACACACTCCTCCTGCAGGGTGCATGTCCTGACATACCCCACCCATCGGTCTGGCTGTCTGGGGGAGGATAGGATGGGGGGGGACCATGAACGAAGCTCTATCTACATTCCGTTACTACCCACCACCATCGCTGCCGGAAATACTGAGCGACGGACTTCCCTGTTTGCGTGCCAGTTTTGCACACGGCCCTGGGCCAACACAGGTCCACAGTGTGCTTTGTCATCATGCCAGGCCCGAACCACATCTCTTTAGAATCAGCATTGTCTACTGGTGGATTCAGTCATTGGTTTATTTCAGTCGGTCGTGGGGCTTGAACTCGGGGCCTCGGCGCTGTCCCTCAGCTCTTCAGCTCAAGGCTGGCGCTCTACCACGTGAGCCACAGCGCCACTTCTGGTTTTTCTGGACCAGAACACACATATAGTCCTCTGGGGGACCTTGGCAGGGGGGGGGGTTACCTGGAGAACTGTAGCCACTCACGCCTGTCATCCCAGCTCCTCAGGAGGCTGAGGCCTGAGGATCGCAGTTCGAGGCCAACGCGGGCAGGAAAGTCTGTGAGACTCTTCTCTTGGATGAACCACCCCCCCCCCCAAAAAAAAAAGCTGGAAGTGCACTAGAGTTGAGCACCAAAGCTCAGGGACAGCACCCAGGCCCTGAGTTCGAATCCCAGGACTGGCACCAAAAAGCAATCAAACCACAAATATCCCCTGCTGCTTGCTTGCTGGAGATTTCTGTGGCAAATAATTCGACCATCGAAATGTCCTGTGGTCCCACGGATCGTAAAACAGAGAGGCCTCAGGTGTGAACAGAGGGTGTGTCAGCCCTCTGGGTGCAGGTCACCTTAGAGGGGAAGTGGTTGGTCGTAAAACACCGGGTACAAGTTCAGGCGTGATCTCACGGGACGATAAGAAGTCTCAGAGTCTGAAGGTTGTGTCTATAAATATAAATGCTGGGAACGGGAGAGGCGCAGACGGTGAGTTTTACACACACACACACACACACACACACAGAGGTGCTGAATCACTGGAGTCAGATCTCTGTGGGCAACTTGAGTTTCCAACCCTTGGAATAACTCTTCCCGAAAGTTCTGAACCAGCCAGCAAAAAAGCACACGTGGGGTCTTCCTCATTTTTTGTTTTTTTTTGTACTCTCCCCGCCTCTCCGGTTCTTTGGGGTGCTCACCCGTGTCTAGGTTCTGATCATTGTAAGGAAAAGAAAATGGGTTTTCTTAGCTGGGCTCCGGCGGCTCACGCCTGTGTCATCCCAGCTACTCAGGGAGGCTGAGATCTGGAGGATCGTGGTTCGAGGCCAACCCCGGGAGGGAAGGAATAGTCCACGAGACTCTGATCTCCAAAGAACTAACTCCAAAAAGAGCCAGGGTGGAGCTGTGGCTCAGATGGGTAGAGCACAGGGCTGGAGCACAAAAGCTCAGCGACTTAGTGCCAGGCCCTGAGTTCAAGTACAAGCACAACCGCCCCTAAGTAGAATGTAAGGTCGCTCATCATTGGACACCTGTCCGTCATTCCCAGTGTCTACCTATCAGATACCTTGGGTTCTTGGGGAGTAGGTGGGACCTACTGACAAGAGGGGGAGGAAAGGAAGAAAATGGGCTACAGACTGGCTTGAGTGACTCTCGTGTCTGTCCATCTGTCTGTCTCCCGATCCACAGGCTGTGGCAAGATGTGGGACAATCTGACCTGCTGGCCCGCCACCCCTCGGGGTCAGTCGGTGGTTTTGGCCTGCCCCCTTATCTTCAAACTCTTCTCCCCGATTCAAGGTAAGAGCCTGGGGTGTGGGGGGGTGGGGACTGGAGGTTGAGATCCTGAGGATCGCGGTTCGAGGCCAGCCCTGGGGCAGGAAAGTCTGTGAGACTCTGACCTCCAAGGAACCACCAGGAAACTGGAAGAGCTCAGGGACAGCACCCAGGCCCTGAGTTCGAGCCCCACGACTGACCGGGAAAAGAGAAACAGGATTGTGGGGTCCTGGGGAGGGGGGGCTGCAGGTGTGGGGCGTGGGCTGGGAGAGGAGGCAGCCGGTGGCAGTGACAGGGGTGACAGGCCTCGGGTGGACGCACATGGGGCTGTGATTCTCTGTTCACACAGAGGTCCTGCGCGTGGGAAAGGCCTCGCTCAGTATTTGCTCAGCAATTGATAACGTGATTGATGGGCGGGGCGGGGCTAGGATGCCGAGGCCCCGCCCCTGCGCCTCCCCACCCCCCACGAGCCTCACCCACCTGTGCCCCGTGACCTTTTGAGGCCCTGTGAGTCACAGAGAGAGAGACAGACAGACAGACACAGAGGCAGAGATACATGGAGAGACACACAGACAGACAGACACAGAGACAGACAGACACAGAGACAGAGACATAGACCAAGAGAGAGAAAGACACAGAGGGACAGAGACACAGACACTGAGGCAGAGAGATACATGGAGAGACAGAGAGATACACAGAAACATGGAGACAGAGGCGGAAGCAGACAGAGAGACAGACACAGAGACAGACAGAGAGACAGACACAGAGACAGAGTGAGCCAGATGCAGATGGACAGAGAGACAGATGGACACAGAGAGAGACAGATGCAGAAAGACAGACATGGAGACCGACAGACAGATTACAGAGACTAAGAGAGAGAGAGACAGACACAGAGACATAGAGAGACAGACACAGAGACAGACACAGAGACAGAGACAGAGAGAGCCAGATGCAGACAGACAGAGAGACAGATGGACACAGAGAGAGACAGACGCAGAAAGACAGACATGGAGACCGACAGACAGATCTACAGAGACTAAGAGAGAGAGACAGAGACAGAAGGACAGAGAGACAGACACACAGACACAGACACACAGAGAGACAGAGATACCAAAAGCAAAACCATCAGGAAGCGGAGCTGTGGTTCAAGTGGTAGAGCACCAGCCTTGAGTGGAAGATCAGGCAGGATCCTCGGGTCCTGAGTTCAAGCCCCAGGACCACCCCCCGCCCAAAAAATGATACTGCCCCTAACTTGGCACTGGTGGCCGTCACTGGTCGGTCACCTTAGCAACTCCGGAGGCCAACATCTGGAGGGGCGCGGGTCCAAGCCAGCCCGGCTAAGAAAGCCCATACATATATATATATATGTATGCATGTGTGTGTATGTGCCAGACCTGGGGCTTGAACTCACGGCCTGGGCGCTGTCCCTGGCAGTACCAAAAGAGTGAAAAATTAAACAATAGTAATCACGATGATGATGATGATAATAATAAAGAATTCGAGTTTACATTACTCCTGGCTGGTAGCAGAGCAAGGCATCCCCCAAAGCCATGCCCGGCGCATGCGCAGTACAGAGCTAGGCATCCCCAAAGCCATGCCCGGCGCATGCGCAGTACAGAGCCAGGCATCCCCAAAGCCATGCCCGGCGCATGCGCAGTACAGAGCCAGGCATCCCCCAAAGCCATGCCCGGCGCATGCGCAGTACAGAGCCAGGCATCCCCAAAGCCATGCCCGGCGCATGCGCAGTACAGAGCTAGCGTCCCCCAATGCCGTGCCTGGCGCATGCGCAGTACAGAGCTAGGTATCCCCCAAAGCCATGGTTCCTGCCTGGCTCATGCGTGGTACAGAGCTTGGAGAAATACCCAAAAAAAGTCATGTTTCCTGCACAGTGCGTGCACAGTACAGAGGCTAGGAATACCCAAAGGCGTGTCACCCGCTCAGCGCAGGTACTGCACATGCGAACTAGGCCTACCCAAAGCCTGGTTTCCTGACGGGCGCATGCGCGGTACAGAGTTCGGCATATACAAAAACCACATGTCATGTTCAGCGCATGCGCAGTTCAGAGCCAGGCATACCCACGGCTCTTGACCGGCGCACGCGCAGTACAGAGCTGGGAAATACCCAGCGCTATGCCAGGCGCATGCGCAGTACAGGGCTAGG